TAACAAAAAATTATCAAAGTTTAACAAACATTATTTTGCCAGAAAACATTCCAACTTAAAGAAAATATCCCGGACAATCCCTAAAATTGTCAGGAGAATGACTGCCTTGATGTAATTTAATTTTAGGAGAGTTTTTGTTATAATCAAAGCACAGAAAGCGCTGAATTTGTTTGGGTCTCAGAATGTCAGAAAGGTGAAGGTTGTAAGACTATAAACCAACTTGTTCGTAAAGTGTCACCAAATTCTGTTTCCATTGTTATAATTATAGTGGCTATAAGACTAATTGCAACACTGATATTCAATTCAAAGTCCATTTAACTTAATCAATTAAAAAAAAAAAACAACAACAGACATGAGTAGCCTGAACTGGGATTTCAGGACCTCCCGCTTCAAAAGCAAGCGTGTAAACCCCTCGACCACGGGGAGTTATAAGATAACAGCCAGAAGAATACCATATTATGACGTAGTATCCTTCCATTGTATTAAATTCCGCAATATTTTATTACGTTCACGTACAATACCCATGTGTTTTAGATTACAGACACCAGTGCTAGAAAATTATGTCTAACACCCCTCATGTAAGATAAGTCGCGTGCTTCAAATGACGTCATTATTGCGCACTTTATGTGCCTCCTTTTTAGTGACGGGCATTTTGAGATATACCCTTGTGCGTCCGTCCGTACGTACGTTCTCTTTTTTTTTGTCGCACGTAATTCTATAAAGTATTTGCCCTAGAGTCATGAAACAGCATGTGTAGTTGTGCACCTGGGTATTTTCGTCTGGATATTTTTAGTATTTTTAAAGTTATTGACTTAGTAAAATTTTGCAATTTTCAACTTGTGTCGCATGTAACTCAAAAAGTATTTAAAGTATTGACCTAGAGTCATGAAACGTTGGAGGAATGTTGATCAGCATGTGTAGTTGTGCGCCTGGGTATTTTTGTCTTGATATTTTTTGTATTTTTACAGTTATTGCCCTTGCCTTAGTAAAATTTTGCAATTTTCAACCTGTGTCGCAGGTAACTAGAAAAGTGTTTGATCTAGTGTCATAAAACTTTACAGGAATGTTAATCAGCATGTGTTTTAATGCACCTGGGTATTTTTGCCTGGATTTATTTAGTATTTTTAGAGTTATTGCCCTTGACTTAGATTTTTTTTTGCAATTTTCAACTTGTGTCGCATGTAACCAAAAAGGATTTGACATAGAGTCATCAAACCTTATTCGAAGGTTGCTCAGCATATTTTGTTTTGCACCTGTGGTTTCGCTTGTGGATTTATCCAGTATTTTTATAGTTATTGCCCTTGACTTATATTTTTTTTGTAATTTTCAACTTGTCTCACATGTAATTCAAAAAGTATTTGACCTAGAGTCATTAAACCGTATGGGAAGGTTGCTAAGCATATTTAGTTTTGCACCTGGGGTTTCGCTTGTGGATTTATCCAGTATTTGAAGAGTTATTTCCCTTTACTTAGTAAAAACCGTTTAAATATGTTGTTATTTGTTCCTTGAGTGCTTGAGTTAGAATCAACGAACTTTACAGGAATAATGATCAAAATCACTAAATTACAGAAATAATGATTCACATCACAGTGAAGCTATGCACCTGGGACTTTGCATGTGGATTTTTTTTCAGTTTTGTTAGACTTATTGCCTTTGACTTACAGTAGTATAAATTTGCAATTTTCAACTTGTTCATGCATAGCTCAAAAAGTATTTCACTTGTATGCCTGAAAAGTTTACAAGAATGTTGGTCAGCATGTGTACTTATGCACCTTGGGGTTTCCTTGTGGATTTATTCAGTACTTGTAAAGTTCTTGCCCTTTACTTAGTAAAAGAGTTTTAGTGTTCAAAAAATATTTGACCTAGAATCATAAAATTGACAGAACAGTGGCGCGGTGGGGGCACCCGTGTCCTATGGACACATTTCTAGTTATGAATGCATTGCGTTCTTAAGATGACGTCATTTTACTGTTATGAATGAAGTTGTAAGTACTACTATAAGAAAAAGTGCGTACTTAGAATATCAATTGACATGTCATATGCAAGAAAAAGAATCAATCAACGGTTGTCGGTACAGACGGAAATATCTAGCTCGAGGGTAACTGTTTATGGTGGTGACGTGGATCTATTTATATCTTGTCATAATTGATTATTTTTTTCCTAGATTTATATTCCTTTACTTTGTCCAGTATTTAACTATACGACCGTGCTGTCTTCTCTGACAGTTCTTGTTATTTTTGTTGTCCAGTTATGGTTTCCTAAAAATAACCATAAGGATAAAACTGAACTATTTTCTATCCTTTTGGAAATTGGTATAGTTTAAATGATTTAGTATTCTGTATGGAAGTCAAAATACTACTTTGTTAACATTTTGCTACCTTTTATTACATTTTTTCTGATCTACCGATGATTAGCATCTAAAATGCTTCATATCCTTTATTATTGTAATACTAAACATCATTTTGCTCCTTCTCATAAAGAAAAGTAATATTCATCACTGAGGCATGATATGCCTATAATATAAAGGCAATTTACATAAGTATTTTCTTGTAAGTGATGAAAACCCTTTTCAATGTTATTAATGTTAGATAGTTATCTAAAATATTTCTGTCTAATAAAATTTTCATCATTAATGTTTCTCTAAAACTAAATGAAAATCTAGGTTTTCGTTATATCTAATTTAAAATGTTCACTATATCCTCAAGCTTAAACTTTACATTCTTGAAACATTAAAGGATCATAAAACATTAAAGGGTGCTGCTATCAGTGGTATGGTGACAAGCCATGTAATTATAATTAAATGCTCATCACTGGCCAAAGATATGAAATTTTGGGTAAAACAAGAAATCTTGGGTTAATGCGTAGGACTGTATCCCCTTTCAATTTAGCTCTCATGGACATACTCGATCAAAATGAGTCTGCAGTTTAACCTTATACATTTTTCATTTTGATAGCTTATGCTTAAATATCCTGTAATACAATTTTTTTATGGTTATATATCATAACTATGATACTCAAATTAAGACTATCATTTCTTTTAGTTCCGAAAGCATTATTTATAAAGTTTAACATTTCATGTAAATAAAGGGAGGTAATAAAAAATTAAGAGACTTTAGAATTAGCGGAGTCAAGCTTGTTATCTGTTACTATTGTTGTTTTTGCTATGATGATAAAGGTAAACTTACGGAATCGACTAAATGTCATTATATATATAGAATTTCACTAGTTATAAACGAGTATAATCATCTGACCTTGAATTGGAGACGCGAAACAAGTGTAATTTAACGGCTCTTGCGAGGCGCGGAAATCACGCGATTTCATATCAGCGAGCGGTATTGGGAATTTTACAAGATGCTGCCCCCATTTCATTAAATTAGCTCTCAATCAAACAGAGTCTGCATCTTTAAGCTACAGTGTCATTGACGTCCCGGCAGAGCCCCGGTAGATGTCCGGGTGATCCGGGAACGACCAGGGTACGACCGGACACAACCGGGGTACATCCGTAACTGTCGGCTACGTCCGGGATGATCCGGGAACATCCGGCATTCGACCCCGGATGGAATAAAATACTTTATATTACCGGGTGGTCCAAATATAGCTTTGCCGGCTTCATCCTTAGCTCTGCCGGGAACGACCGGGGTTACACCGGGGAAGCACCGTAGCTCTGCCGGCACAAACCTGGGATGAGCCGGGGTATGATATAGCCGGTAGAGCTACGGTAGAGCCCCGGTGAATGCTGACAGAGTCCCGGTGAATGCTGGCAGAGCCCCGGAGGATGCCGGCAGAGCCCCGGAGGATAACAATGGAGCTACGGTTCATTTCAAGAATCACGACAATTTGCGATGATTGCACGTGATTCCCCTTCTATCCAGCCTTGCATAAGGATTTTTAAAAAAATCATCATGAATTACTATTCTGGAACAATAGATATAGAATATTAAATGAAAATTATGTATCAATGTAATCATTTTCGTGCGTTTTGAATCCACCAGGGTTCTACCGGGGCTCTGCCTGGGTCAACCGGGGCTTTTCCGGCGTCATACGGGAACGATCGGGGAAGCACCGGCATGAACCTGGGCTCTGCCTGGATGATCCGGAGCGCATCCTCTGTGGTTATTTGGAAATTACTGTAAGTCTGCCGGGGTTTGTTACACCCCAGATCGTCCCGGAGCATCCCGGTATCTTACCGGGATGGTCCTGGGCTCTGCTGGGAGTAAGTGAGACCGCAGTTTAACCGTTCACATTTTGTCATTATTATAGCTTGTGCTGGAGGAATATCCCTTGATATTATCTCTACCTTCGCCCATGGCTTAAATTCAAATAGTTCAACCGAACAAAATGGCGGATTTGTGATGCTGTGACGTCATATGAACAGCTTTTGTTGATAGGAAACTGTAAACGACAAACGAACATACGTAAATTTATTTCATTTTAAGTGGGTTTTTATAAGCACATAGAAAATCTACATTAAATGTGCAGATCTGTACTTTTAATTCTCCAAGACTAACGCGGAAAACTTATAACGACCAGTACAATCAGGCCTCGGATACTCGCTAAAATCTCCTCAACGCTTGAATATACACACAAGATTATACATTTAAAACTTTATAAGAAATATGCCAGCATATAATTAAATCATTCAATATTCTACTAATATATGATTAATAAAATCGTTTTTATGGCAATTTCAAAGTTATTATCATATATAAATCTATTTTTTGTTCAATTGACTAATACGGGTCCATAGGAAGAAACCTGTTTTGTTTATATAAATCTGTGACATAATATAACTTAGATGCTCTATGTTTCAGATTGAAGTAACTTTAATTATTTTTGATCAACCTGTTAACACTTGACACCATCATAAATATGTACTTATATGTCTCGAAAGATAGATTTCGCAAAATTTCAGGTGGTCCGGATATGATCACCATTAACAACGTTCATTTCTCGATGATGTTTACTAGTTTGAGTCTAAACAAGCGTGAAAAGCCGTTAGTGCGCATTTTGTGGCGGGCATTCCCTGGGTTGCATTAGCTAGCGACAAGAAAATATTGCTGATTCCTTTTGACATTAAGACTTACAACTTATTAAGTAGAAAAAAAGATTAAACAAAATGCTAGTTTTTGTCGGAATTGGATTGTGCGCCGCGTCGCTTTTAATAAATATCATAGGGCTGGCGATACCGTATTGGTATGATTTCACCTTAACCTTACCCCTTGTAGGTGAAAAGAAAATATATATCGGATTATGGTCGGCATGTGTATCCGTCGGCGAAAATACTGATTGTAATGACATCACAGGTGAAGCTCTAGGTATGCATCGACACTTTTCTTTTAATTTGTTAAATACAACTTTATGTTTCAAAACTATGTTTCAGATATTGTTATATTTTTTATAATATTTGATTGAAACAACAACTTAAACTAAGTATACAGTACTGTACATTTTTTATTTACATTTGATATACTTGCATACGTGCATATAGTTAACTTATGACAATATATAATTTTTGTTGTTGTAATGAATAAAAATCAAAACGTTCTGTATCCATAGTTAAGCCACCTTTCTGCGTTAATTACAGTTCTTAATTCTTTAAAAATGTTCTTGGATTAAACATTGTCAAATCCCTATCAACATCATCACGTGACCTACTAAAAATTAAAAGCGACCACTTTGACCCATCCTCGGTACCCCAGACTATTTACCATTATACCAGAATCGGTAAATAAATGTAGTATATTTCGGAATGCGTACCGTGTGTTCCGACGACGACATTGACCGTACTGCAAGTAGTTTATAAATGTTTTTCATGGGACGGTAAATAAAAAAATACTGTAATGATGTGCGACCATTTTTAAATGATAAAGTCATAATCAAAACGAAATAAAATAAATCTAACATTGTGTTTAAAACAAATAGATCCAGTAGAGTAAAATGGAAAAGGTTTGCTCCCCCGAATTATGCCCTAGTAACGTTGCTGATGTGATGATATATATATGCGTACATAACATGCGCATGCTTATAATGAAATAGATGATTGTTTTGGCGGTACTAAAAATGAAAAGGATTTTTTTAAAACTATTTGCATGCTTTCCAGTTCATTTGTTGTGGGCAAAATAATATGTGTTCCTTAGTTTTTCTAACTAGATATGGAAAAAAAACTGACTGAAGGCACAATACATAATTTTGAGCTGCAGCTGCTGTTGCTACTGCTATATTGCTTTCTACAATCTTAACAGTATTCCACATAATCTTAATCGCTACATAGATTTTTAACTTAATAGCTAAAACATGAAAAACAAAAGTCTATGGCGAGAACAGCTTGGAACCGCTTCTAGAGTTTTGTGTTACTTTTAAGTTTTGATTTTCTTGTATTCTTTATATTATAGATGGCGCTTTTAAGGCGACTCGAGCCATGGAGATACTGGGCATGCTCCTTATACTGGCGGCTCTTGTGTGCGTTCTTTTTAAACAGTTTGTCATAAAGGACCAAGCACTCCTTCCTAAAATCGGAGCAGGTTTAGCCATAGTTTCTGGTAAGTAAAAAATAGGGTTTTTTTTATTCTCGCAAAACTGACTACCATCTCGTCAAAACATCTGCGCCGCTTCAGACAGATGTAAAGTTTCATTCATGGTGTCTACTAAAAACTTAATACTCAAACTTTTAACTTATTATTGCTATTCATTCTGTTTATCTCAGCCTTGAAATAAAAGACGAGAGAGAAAAGAAAAATCTATGCAAAATATTTATAAAAAATTCATATTAATTTATAATTTCATAATTTCTTTGATTCTCCCTTTTAAGACTCTTTTACCTTTACTCATGGTGTGTTTAATCAAATTTTCGGAAAACAAAAAGTATCGATGAAAAAACACTGCTCTTAATGTAATTTTAATAGCAATTTTGTTTTCGGAAGCGTTTGATTAAACTACTTAAGAGTTCAAGTACTTGGACGCGTTATCGTGTTATTGTGTATACATGTATGTACTATAATAAGATTTGACCTTCATTTTCAACTGAAAAGGACTTCAATATATTGCCAGTATCCTGTTTGGCATGTATATTGAATGAAAAGAAATATATTAAAAAGCAAAAAAAAAAATCCTCGTTTTTAGATAAAGATAATTTGTTATTTTACTTATCATTAATAATCAAATCGCAGTAATTATATCAGCAGAAGAAAATTATTCGTTTTTAAACAGTTTTATTTAAGTTTAGGCATACACTGACGAGTATTTTCTTAACACAAATGTGTTTCATATTCTACCCCTTACCTCACTAAATATCTTAAATAAACTTTCCATATTTCAATTAAGAACAAAAATTTTCATTGTTTATTGGGAAATTTAAAAAATAAAACAATGTACCACTGAATAGCGAACAGTGCTGACCATGATCACACGACGCTTGGTATGCACTGGTCGCGTAGATACATTTATAACCTGTTTCCACCAACAGTTTACGGGCTAGTTATTCAGTAAATGAAGGTAACGTCATTGACCTCTATTGACGTCAATTATTCAAACACTCAAACTGACTGATTTGTAATGTCAATTTTAATCTGCCATTTCACCATATTCTATATTTTCCATTTTCGCATTTTTAGGAATCTTCATGATTATCGGCACAATAATTTATGCCACTCGAGACGGCGTGGACTCAAGCAATTTGCATGCCGGGTTTGCCCTTTGCATTATTGCAGGCATCATAGGAATCGTCGCGGGAGTAGTGGTTTTTATGGCGTCCAAGGGCGATTAAACTAATCATTCTACACGTCACTGGTTCAAGTCTAAAGGAAGACAATGTAATTTTCTTCCATTTATTTTATGCCGGTGTAAAAATGTTTGTGTATACCTGAAACATAAAAGACGTTGCTTTTTTATTTTTATATACTTATTTGTAGTGTGTCTGAAATATATTTCTGTAATAGGGAAAAGACTTATATTCAATAAACAACATAAAAGTTACAATGTTTTTAGTTTTCATCATCATCATCATCATCAAAACCACCAATATCATCATCATCATAATTATCATCATCATTAGCATTATTATCATTATTATCATCATCAATATCATCATCATCATCATCATCATCATCACCATAATCATTATCATTATTATCATCATCTATAGCATCATCATCATCATTATCATCATCATCATCATCATCATCAACAACATTAATACCATCATCATCATGATTTTCATCATCATTTTCGTCATCTTCATCATCATCATCATCATAATCACTATCATTATTATCATCATCTAAAGCATCATCATAATTATCATTATCATTATCATCATCAATATAAATATCATCATCAGCATCATCATCATTATCATTATTATCATCATTTAATTATAGCATCATCATCATTATTATCATCAATAAAATCATCATCATTTTCATCATCATTATTATCATTATCGTCATCACCACCACCATCATCATTTATTATCATCATCATCATTGTTCTGCTTGTTAAATATATCATTATAATCATATTCATTTTTATAACTTTTATCTATTGCTTCAATTGTTGCTTTCCCGTTCGCTGTCTGAAAAAACTCATCTTCAAGGATCTCGAACACAATAGTAAGAATACACAGAACGAATACGATATTTTGGTCAACCCTACGCTAAGAAATTAAACATGTAAACAAAAAGTAATGTAACGCTGGTAATTGTTGACTAAATTTGTATAAATATATCAAGTAAAGGTCAACCTAAATTAAGTAAAGATATATAGATATAATAGTAAACAGTATATTATTTATATACTTATATGGTTGCAGAAACCTTAATTACAAATTCCTGCCTGTTGACATAAGTTCGGTTTTGGTTTCAATGGTAATCAGTGGATTGTGATTCTCAGACATATTTTCAATCATAACTTTACCGAAACAACTATATTTTCCTTTAAATGTCAAATATATACATTCGTTATACATTAACAAATATTACACCCCTGTTTTTGTGTACATCTAAAACCACGTAGAACTACTTTAAGTCCTTATTAAAAGTCCTAGGTTATTATGAATAATAGCCGAGGTGTTCCGATTGTGTCTGGAAGTTTCCGTTTTACATATATCTATATAAATTTGCTGCAGATATTGATAATACTGCCACACCCTCTAGAAATCAGTGCGCCTTAAAAATCGATGCATTTTAAAATCGATGCATCATCGAATGACATAATTTTTAATGGTAAGTGGCGCAGGTTTCTTTTCAACGTGTCATCATTTGACATTGTATACCAGTAAATCTTTAGATTAATTGTGTGTTCATGTAAAGACGGTAACGCAAGCCACGTTTCTAAGCGTTTCTTTTGTCATTAAACAAGTACCGGTATGTTAAAACAAATATTTAATATATTACATTGCTTTCATATGATATATGAATGACCATGCTTTAAAAACACTTTGCTCTGTCATTTATTTACAAAATAAAATTATAAAATTTTCTGCAATAATTCATTGAAACAATTTTGAGTTTTAGTTAAATGCTGTGTCATTAATCCTATGTATGACACGGTCAATAAATAAAAACAGAAAATGATGACAATATTCTTTGGTTTTAGTGTATAAAGCTATTTGTCTACAGCAAATACTTTTTTAAATTCCAAAATACTTGTGTAAAAGAAATATGTTTTTATATGTTCCTAAGAAATAATGGAGCATGCATGGAATCATTGTTAAATTGTTAACACTGTCAGGAGAATGACTGCCTTGATGTTATTTTATCTAAGGAAAGATTTAGCAATAAATACAAGAACTAATTTCCAAGATATGGAGGCTGGGCAGCACCGCCTGACTTAAAATTGAAATATTCTCAGTTGAAAAAACGAGAGCATGTAATAATTTTTAATACTATTTCTTAGGTATTTTTTTCTTTTTATATCTCAAATTAATATACTAGTATTCATTTAAACAACAAACTCTGATGATTATTTAAACACAAAACAAAGATATCTGATGATTATTTACACCAAAAACAAACACACATCATTTATCAACCACTTATACGAAATATCTTTTCACGTATACGTCTTTTATACGAAACAATACTAGAAACCTGGCGAGCCCGAGCTCTAAACAACATATAATTAAACAAAACAGTAAAATCCAGACAAAAAATGAAGAACACAAAATGAAAAGTTTTACAACTCTAAGATACAGTATAAACCACAAACATTCAACCAACAATATTTCCTTCACAAAATCTAATCAGCATCAGAAAAAAACAACTTTAACTTAAGCACCCAATATTTACAGATATCCTCAAAAACAAAGCATTAACTAATATAATCTTGACAAGACAAAATCACTCAAAACATTCAACCAATATCAACCAAATATTTCTTACCAAACAAATATAACTCAACAACCAAATAAAATGCTACAACCAAAACAACCAATTAACCCTGATCAATCAAGATCACCACAAGCAAATTCAACCAACTTCAACAAATCAACAAAACTCCTTTCAAAACAACACATTCTCTTCTCAACAAAAACATAAACGCTACATGTAAATTTCTCCCAAAAATCGCATATTTGCTATTTGACATTTACATGCACACAGCAACCAGGTTGAAAAATAAAATGTTCAATGAAATATGATACACTTCAGTAGACATTAACTCGTTGTGAAAATATCTACCGTGAAACCGCAATATTTTATTCTGACAGCCCCCTACTCCAGGCCTCCACTGCACACCGGTTTTAAACTTTATCAATTACTGGTGTCTAATTTCAACAAATTATAAGCTATATTTTTATCATTGATATAAACTTATTATTCCATTGATTCAAACTACCACAACAAATGTCTCCCCAAAACCACTAAAATCTATCACTGAATAAACAGTATGCAACCAAGAGTGCTCTTCTGCTAAATGCAATTTATCTTCAGTTTACATAAAATTAAAATAAAGTCCGTCATCGCAACTCTACTCTTAAACTTGTATAAACAGTTTACTTGTATAACACTTCAACACAGGCGAACATCGTTCTATTTTACCAAAAGATCGAAAATGATTTAAGGTTTAACAAAAACAAACAATATTTTGCCAGAAAACATTCCAACTTAAAGAGAATATCCTGGACAACCCCCTAAATTGTCAGGAGAATGACTGCCTTGGAAGTTATTTAATCTAAGGAAAGATGTAGTAATAAAAACTAGAACCAATTTCCAAGATAAGGAGGCCTTACTTAAAATAAAAATATTCTCAGTTGGAAAAACGACCATGTAATTGTTGAGTTAACACTATATTTTAGGTGATTTTATCTTTTTCTATCTCCAATCCATATACTAGTATTCATTTTAACAACAAACTCTGATTATCTCTTACACATAAAACAAAGATCTCTGATCATTATTAACACCCGAAACACACAACATTTATCAACCACTTATACATAATATCTTTTTACGTATACGTCTTTTATACAAAACAATACTGGACACCTGGCGAGTCCAAGCTCTAAACAACTTATGATCAAACAATACAATAAAATCGCGACAGAAATGAAGAAAACAAAATGAAAATTTTTACAACTTTAAGATACAGTATAAACCACAAACATTCAACCAACAATATAACCTTCACAAAATCTAATCAGCATCAGAAAAACAACTTTAACTAAAGCACCCAATATTTACAGATATCCTCAAAACAAATCATCAACTTATATAATCTTGACAAGACAAAAACGCTCCAAACATTCAACCAATATCAACCAAATATTTCTTACCAAACAGATATAACTCAACAACCATAATAATATCTGTCATATGTTGCGGTTCGGACCGGAATATCCGTCCCGAGGGGACCCGCCCATTGGGCGGTAACGAGGCTTGCCGAGTTACCGCCCATGGGCGGGTTCCCGAGGGACGGATATTCCGATCCGAACCGCAAACATATGTTAGATATTTTTTCTTGCATATTCTGCCATATTATTTCATATTTAAAATGGTTTACCTCAATATGATATATGTTCATGGAAATTAAAGTCATTTCATCCATAACTATTTTCTAACAATAGCGTATGAACTTACAACTTAAATAACAACGGCGAAATGACGTCATCCTTAGCACATATTTCCCTTCTAAAACGACGTCATTTTAACGCGGTTCATTCATAAAGCGGGCTAAAATGACGTTGTTGTTTGGCACGCGACTCATCTGGCACCCCCCATGCCAGATGAAATTTCCGGCATGGGTAAAACTCACGGAAACGCCAGTCTGATATGCAAGAAAATAAAATACAACAACCAAGCAACTAATTACAACCAATGAACCCTGATCAATTAAGATCACCACAATTAAATTCAACCAACTTCAACAAATCAACAAAACTCCCTTCAGAACAACACATCATCTTCTCAACAAAAAATAAACGCTACGCACTATAAGTGTGCCTTCCCTAACTGATGTAAATTTCTCCAAAAAATCGCATATTTGTTTTTTGACATTTACATGCACACAGCAACCAGGTTGTAAAGTAAACTGTTCAATGAAATATGATACACTTCAGTAGACATTAACTCGTTCTAAAAAATATCTACTGATTATTCTGACAAACAGCACACTATAGATAGCAGCATATATTTAATTCCGCAATACTTTATTCTGTTTACGTACAATATTCATGTGTGTTAGATTACAGACACCGGTGCTAGAAAACTCTGTCTTACACCCATTCGGAACTGCCTCGGCTAATATTTATAATAGCCTCGGAAACAATACGGATTGAAAGTAGTTCTACAACGTGGTTTCAGATTAAACAGAAACAGAGATAATGTAAAACGAATGTATATATTTGACATTTAATGTCTGTTCTGGTACTCTTATGCTTGAAAATATGTCTGACAACAATTTGTAATTTAAATTACCCACTTATGTTCAATTTCAAACAAATCCGACTAAATGTCAACAGGTT